ATCTCCCCTTCCCAATGTCAATATCCTATGTTTATCATGGTAGAATTCTCCTTTAGAGTCTCATCTTGTTTGACATAGATTGATGTTTTCCCACTCATGTTTTTTCAACTTGTTCATCAGGTTCTCAAGGCTGATATACTGTTTGTATATTCCATGTTCCAATAATTACCCTTTTCCTTAAAGTTCATCACATAATTTCCTGTATTGCTTCCTGTATTGCTGGTTATATTTGTACCAGTCGCACACTTTTCACCCCGCCTCAATATCTGGCCCTTGTTTGTCTGGGCATTGACCAGTGCAGCATACTTTTTTCTTTCTCCTTACATTCTTCATGTAGTTTCTGTCATCCAAAAGTCATTAAGACTCCTTGGTTTTGTGTTTGACCAGTGTATTGCAAGGCATCTGAAACACTACTCTAGGGGTATGTCTACAATACAGCACTATTTCGAATTAACTTATTTCAAATTAGTTAATTCAAAATAAGATAATTCGAAATAATGCATCTAGACACAAAAACTAATTCAAAATAGCGTGTCCACGTTGAGTGGACCCTGAATCTAAGGTAAGGCTGGCCGGAACCAGTGCCAGCAGGGCATAAAGGTCGGACTTAGCGTGTGGATCTGCTGCCTCAGGTTATTCGAGGTCTGTGCTTAAAGGGACCCGACCCCCCATCCCGGACAGACAGTTCTCAGGTTTCTCTGTTTGCTGGTCTACCTTGCTGAAGGACAGTAAAGCATTTGTGTCTCAGCGTGATCTGCTTGCCCTCACTTGGGACACCACAGCACTCTGCAACATCAAACCAGACCTGCCCCTGGGAACTGTGCTGCATCTCATGGACATGTTGCCAGCAGCCTGGCTGCACTGTCTGCAGGCTGCCATCCGGGAAGACCTTCGAGGGGCTGTCACGATACAGGGGGCCCTGCGGGAGAGTTTCCACCCTGAGGAGCGCTAACAATCTCCCTGGTCTGCCCCACTGGGGGCTTGTGCCCCATTCCTCCCTCTCATCCTTCCACTTACCCTTCCCTAGCCCTCCCTTCCTGATGTCAAATAAAATACACGTATTTTCAAAAATAGAAACTGTCTTTATTTAACACAATGGGGGGCTGAACCTCTGGGGAGACGGGGGAAAGGAGGGAGAGCTGGGAGGAGGGAGCTGGAAAGGGGAAGCAAGGGGAAAAATGGGGAGGGGAAGCTCAGTGCTCAGGGGTGGGGGTCTTGCCGGGGCAACTGCCTTCCAGCACCGTGGGAGAGGGGGCCTCGGCATCCCCGGGGGATGGGGAGGAGGGTGCAGAGATTGAAGAGGAGGGTGTGGAGGTTGAGGAGGAAGAGGTGGGAGGGGGGCAGGAGTGGGAGGAGGAACAGTAGCTGGGGGGGGGGCAGCAGGACCGGCACGTGGCAGCACACTCTGCACCAGAGCCTGCAGATGGTGACAGATGGCACAACCCTGGGCAAACAGCTCCTGCTGGAATGCCCAGTTGCCCTGGGGGGTGGGCAGCAGGCACAGGACCAACACGGGGCAGCACGCTGTGTACCAGGGCCTGCAGATGGTGACAGATGCCACAATCCTGGGCAAGCAGCTCCCGCTGGAACTCCCGGTTGTCTTGTGCCTGCTGCTCCATGATCCGGGTCTGGGCTCGCAGGGCCTGCAGGTGCTACTCTCTGTACCCCTGCCGCATGGTAGTGGTCCTGCTGAGGCCGCGGGTGCAGGAGCATGTCCCGGGTAGGGTGGTGTGCCCTGCACAAGCAGCTGGTGCGGCTGTAGAGAAAAAAGAGAAGTGGTCAGTTGTCCCTGGGGACACTGGATGATTCACAGCCCCCCCGCGAGGTGAGGGCGACCATGCCCTGCACCGTCAGAGCCGATGTGCTTGCACAGAGGCCCTGGGCGGCATGTCCGGCTCTGGCTGAGAGTGGGAGCTGCCCCAAGACCGCACCTGTGCCCCTGTGCTGTGTATAATGCGGCCGGGGCGGGGATGGGGGGGAGATGTCCCCTGCCCCTGTGTAGAGGGGGCATGTGAAGTGAGGGCGCCCTGCTGTGTCCTGCCCCGAGGTCGGGAGCGTGTCGGGTCTCTTCACACACATGTGTGCGTATCAGGCCATGGCCCCTGTGTGGCACGCAGCTGGAGCCACCTGCCCAAGGATGGCACGGCACGTGCCCGCATGTGCACAGGTGGCTGCATGATCCGTGGGAGGTATGGCCCACGCGTGCGGTCCCTGGTCTCCCTCCCCATCTCCCCCCTGGGTAGGGGACAGTGCTGGCACTTACCTGGTATGGCCTCCCTGGATGACCCTGCCGACTCCGGTGCTGGGACCACTGGTGGTGGCCCCTCTGCTGTGCCCGGGTCAGGGCCCTCAGCTCGCAGCTCACTGCCCCCCGGGCTGGCGCGGACCGCCCCGCCCCGCAGGATGCGGTCCAGGGTGGGGAATTAGGGGCAGGTGGCAGCGGCGCTGCCCCTGGTGGCCCTGATGTATGCCTGCCACAGCTCCTTAACTTTCAGGCGCACCTGCTTCTGGGTGTGCCAGTGTCCCTTGCGGGCCATGGTGGCCGCTGTGCAGCCATAGACGGTGGCATTCCTCTGACTGGTGCGGAGATCATGGACATTAGGGGCCTCCCCCCACACTTCAATGAGGTCCATGATCTCCGCACCAGTGCAGGTGAGTGTGTGCAGTCTACGGCCCCTGGTTGGCCCCTGAGTGCTGGGGGACTGGGCAGGGGATGGCTGGCTGCCACTGCCTGCCATT